CAATGATGATGATGGGGAAAAAAAAAAAAAAGAAATATATAAACAGGCAATGTACAGCGTAATTGCTCCCCACCCGCTAACCAATATCCAGCCCGTTCCCGGCCAGCAACCCCAAGATACCAAGATCCCACAATTGCAATCCTGGAAGCGAGAGAGCTCCTTCCCAACCACCCCTCCTCTATATAGTGAGCATGACGTGCCATGATATGGAATATTTCACTGGCCAGTTAGGGTCAGGTGCTGTGGCCGTGCTCCCTCCCTGCTCCCTGTGCCCTTGCGCACGGGCAGGACATGGGGAGTCGGAGAGTCCTTGAAGTCTCGGCAGCAGCTGAAAATATCAGTGTGCTATCAGCATTTTTCTCATACCAAACCCAATGCTAAATCCAAAACACAGCACTCATCTAGTCCCTGAGAAGGAATATTAACTCTATTTCAGCCCAAACCAAGACAGATCTAATGAACAGTTTTAGAGTCCAGGTCAACCACCCCCTCCTCCTAGCAGCCTTCCCTGCTTATCAGTCCCCACTCCCTCATAACCTCCTGCTACATGGTCAAGAACCCGAGAAGATGCCCAGGGGAGCATTAAATCACTAAAGCAGGACTGGAGGTGGCCAGGGTGGTTTTTTGCACTTCGGCACACTTCAGAGGCTGTATCTGCAGCTGATAGATGGAACTAGGCAACTGCAAGGCCATCACATTTGATGGCGGGATCTCATTCCTTGGCCACATCTCAGCTAAATGAACATTTCAGTTTCAAACCTTTTCAGTCGGCTTTCTGTTCGGCTGAAACCTGTGGCAAGTTGGCTTGACCTAAACAGAGAGAGGACTGTTGAAGCACAATTGTGCATACGGAGATTTGCAATGCTTTTGAATCAATTTTATTTTACAATTAAAGTAATATAAATAGATTTAAATCCATACTTGTAATTAAAACAACACAGTTTCCCGTGTCTCCCAGCTGTAGGCAGAATCTGAATTATATTCTTTGAGAAATCATCCCCTTTGCAATTTACTGCAGTCCCCCAGATCTTGCTAGCTCTGCTAATCCATTAGATTTGCTGTAAATGCATTTCTTAGGGTACTCTGAAGGAAGTGGGCTGATAACTTTGGAAGCTCTTTTTCATTTTTTGTTTATTTGAATCTATAGGTAAATATTCAGTGTGGTATTTACATGTTACACATATGATGAAAGAGAGAGAAAATACATTAAATTATGTAACTTCAGGAATTAAACATTCCCCCAAACTATGTTAACTTGTTTCCTTGAATTTTGCAGGACACAATTTCTTATTGCACCATATTAATTTTATCCATAAGAAATCTGACAGATTATCCTATGTACTGTGGATTAAACAGCAGAGTTAGATTTTTATGTACTCCAGCATTTGTGCAAATGTTTTATATATGAGGACTGTTGCTAATATTGGCCTCTGTCCTCAGGTAAGATAAGATGCTAACATAATACAAAACACACTGATTTATTTTGTAAATGTTTGAACATCAGGAGAATTTATTTGTGATAGTTCGAGATCAGGCACAGGTAGCTGTAAATGGGCATTTTAGACAGAGTGGCCATGGAAGAAAATCATACTGCTGGATAGTGCATGATGAGACCTCGCATCAGTGGACAGAGAAGTCCTCTTGCCATCCCATCACCTTGTTTCTGCAATGGTTTTAGAGCGATCTAAGATGAACTATGAACGTCTCATGCTCTGGAGGAATGAGATGGTCTTTCTTCCAACAACTACAGGGTAGTAAAGTTATATGATCTAAATAACTGAAAAGTCAAGAAAATTGGAGCCTCCAGACTACTGGTCTGTTTTGGGAGGTTACATTGAAGGCCTCTTCTCAGAAAGTACACAATTTTCAGCCTCTTTATATTAATAGACATCAAGGAATTTAATCCTTTTCAGTAAGAGGGAGGAAGAACAGAAACCTATTCTTGCTGCTGCCACAGCAGATGGAGGCAGCCCTGGGAGACCTCTTCTTAAATGCAATGGATGCCTGGAGAGTCACCTCAGCTTGTGTTTACAGATGAACCCAATCAACCACATCACCGGTTGATGGTGGTTGACCTTGTGTGTAATAAACTGCTTCTTAAATTTACTATCCTGCAGAAAATACGTGTTGAGTGAGGGATGGTCCTCAAGAAATTCATGATAAGCTGCATCTTTCCAACAAGTTCAAGAGATACCTCACCGTGCTGGGTCTCACACAGAACTGCTTCAGGCGCATTTCTTTTTTCAGTCCTATCGCTGCAAAACTTGACAAATTTGCTTTCATTGTCCTGGTGTGCTTTTTATTTGGTCACACTGCAGTTCCTCGAAGGTTTAAGCTATACTTCACCATGATAAGATTTGTAATTTGGCATTTGATTTTGCAGTATCTGTGTTCACAGGTCTTCTTTTCAGACCAATAAAGTGTCACACCACAGCTCTGAGAAACTTGTAATCTAGAAGATCTAAAATCAGGCCAAGGATGATGTTATAAACAGGTATCAGAGGAAAACAATGAAAAACAGTATGCTAAGTTATGCAGGAAGAGATATGTACATGAAAAAGGACTGGAGAGTTAGCCTCTAATCTAGTAAGCCTCTGCTTAACTATGCAACTCATTAATTTGTTGACTGTTTACATGTTTAATTTCTAGTTTCCTTGTGGTAGGGACAGATAAAGATTGAGCAGGAGGATATAAAACCTGACTGGAAACATCATTCAGAAAAAAAGACTGTACAAGAATAAGCAAAGATAGAACAGTGCCTTGTGTAACATGACTGGCACATGAATGAGTTCACTGGAAATGTAAACACAGAAAGGGGCTGTTAGAGAGGGCATAAGATGAGTAATTCAAATTGATGAATAACTGTGGAAGTGGTTAAGACTTCTTACCTACCAATGAGAAAAACAGTGATGTAAGAAGAGGTTGGGTTGACAGGAAGGAGCAAGAGCAGCATTCCCCTTAGCGTGCTCAGCTGTACCTGCCTCTCTGTGCACGAGTCTAAATCTTGGCTCTGGTTGGTTCAGCACTGTCTTACGTTGATCACCTGATGAATAATCACGTGTTTTTGTGAGTGTCTGATGATTACTACCCTCTGTTTTTTGCTACAGCCTATGAAAAAGAACATAAAATTGGTGCTCCTGTGGGACTCTTGATTATTGATGCAAACTGAAACCAAAACAATCAAAGCTCTTAGAACTTTTTAATCATATTAATTGCTGAGGCAACCTAACTCCTCTACGAATATGCAAACTAATTTTACAGCATTTTATGTTCTTTCAGGAGCTAGACTGATTTATGGGGGTGGATATATGTAACTGACTTTGATCTGGAGGTTGTTTTTCTCTGATACTGTTTTTCTGGTATATCACCAGTTTTATTGGCAAGTGTGAATGATCAAAATTCTCAACAGCTTTTGTCATGGAGACCTCCCTGAACTTAGCTGCCTGTTACATTGTTGCCTGCAAATGAGCTGAGTAGTCCTTTCTAAGTGCATTTCATTTCAAGTTGGTGGGTCATCTACCACCTCTCTCTGCAAGATTCCACCTAAGTGAATTGATATAGTCCCCTTAAGTCCTGCAGGATAAATCCAGGATAAATATGGACCAATTGCTAAACCTCGCCAATGTCTGGAGGCACCTCTTTGCAGGGTAAAGTTAAGACCTGTATTTGCTTATTTGTCTGCTGTTGACATAGACTATTCTTTGTCAAAAGCTCTTGAAGATACTAGGTACTTTTGCAGTTCTGTGTTCAGAAAGCACCAACACCTACAAAACACCTGAAAAGGCCTTTTTCCAGTTACTATATCTTTGCAGAGTCTCTTTCCAACACCTATTTACTACCGAGAGATGAATCAAAAGAGAAGCAGTGAATCAGTAATCTATGGACTTTAAGAGGTTGCTTGCACCAGACAGTCCAAGAACAGGAGCTTGCAAATCCTTATTTCTGAAAGAAATGTGCCAAACTTCATAAAATATGGGACAAAGAAGCTATGTGAAAAATGACCTAAGAATGACGTTCTTAAATGCTAAACTGGGCTGTAGCCCAAGGTTATTATCAGTCTCTGATGGCTCCTTCTTCTTTAAGGCAGCAATACTAGCAAAGGCTTGCTATGGGAGATTAACTTCCATAGCAAGTGGGATGCACAAATTGTCCTTTCCAGACTTGCTTTGTATATTGCACTGACATGGGTCAACCAGAGCTTGCGTGGGAAAGGCTACGTGTCAATGGTGATAAAGTTGCTCTTGTGGGGTTTTTGTGGAAGAGCCTATTCTGCATCGCAAGCATCAGTCAGCTCTACCTCCAGTTGCGTTCAAATGCTGGCCGGTGAAACAATTGTCTGAGCAGTTTAGTCCATACCAAAATGATAATTACACAACTGGAGTGCATTGGTCTCTAGTAAAAGCTCACTGTATGCAATCATTATTTCAGCTGCTTTCTTCACAAAATACATGCACAGAGAACTAGCATCATATATTGAATTCTTCCTGTGGAATCCAGTCAAACAACAACTTGTTAATAAAATTCTGGTGATAATGTTTTTTCCAAGCAGAACTTCAAACCCCTTGCCGCTTTGGACACTGGCTGTGATGAATGTGGTGCTGCCTGCAGCACACTGTAGCTTTTGACAGTGAGTAAAACCAAATATAATACTAAAGTTTGGAAAAAAATACTACCCTTCAGAAATAAACTGTCGATCTTTTCAGCCATATTCTGAAATGAAAAATATTAGAATACTGTGGAACAGCCCTAGCCTCATATATTTCAAATTTACTGATACTGAGAGCTAACAGTTATTGTGCCATCTCCTTACAAGATTCCCTGCCTAAGCTCTCAGCCAGGGGTCTAGGTATGGCCCAGGGAAGCACTGCGCTTTCAGATGTTCACAGTCTAGTATCAGCCTCGCTCACGGACAAATTAATTCCCTAATGGGATTCTAGCTTTACAATAATAGTACCTTAATGGAGACAACAGAATAAAAGTATACTTTTTCAAAAAAAACATTAACTTTCAGAGTGGTAGTTTTATTTGTATGCATTCAATAGCGCACAGGTTCTTTCACAGGGATATAAACATAGCAACTTAGAAATGTCCATACCAGATCCAACCAGTATTCCATTTCAAAGGATTCAGATGCAAGAAACTTCACAGGAGGCAATGACAGGACAACCTGCTCCCAGAAGAAAGTTTCTGCCTAATCCTCATCGATGCAATGTTTGGCCAATTTCACAAAACAGGAGGGCTTATATCCCTTAGAAAAGTAATATACATAATATATTTGAACAATTTATATTTCTTATAGATTTCTGTAAAGTAATATTTACAATATATTGCAAAGATTACAGTCTCTATCTGATGCCTTTATTGCAAATACTTGCTTCCAGGACATAAAAGACAGACTTTGTACCTTTTGCCAGTTACACTACAGCCACAGACATTGCCCCTTGTCACAGCACTGGAGCACCTTGAAACACTTGGGTGTAAATAGAAGTTAGCAACTGCTCACTTGCACTCCATTTGAGTATTTTAGTTTGCACAGTTCTAGTCAAATTAAATAATTCAATTTATTATTTGCTTTTTCCCTCAGCCCCAGTTTTAGTTTTCCCAAAAGACTGTAAACCCAACTCCATTGCTAAAATTTCTGTTCATACCACCATGGCCCGCTTTACCGCAGTTTATTTCTACAGCTGAAAAATCCCACCCCTTCTAAAGCATGTCTTTAATAATCAAATAGTTAAAAAAAAAAAAAAATCTCAAGAATTATTTTGGGAAAAAGATAGGTAGTGACTAACATTAGCAAGTTTTTCTCATTTTGAGGGACATGACTGAAAGACCCAGCAGAAGTAATTAAAAACCTTTACTTGTAACAGTAACAGGAGCTGAGTGAAGCCCAGAGTTCCCACTCCTTGGAAAAATCACTGGATTACCCATTCCCAAGATGTATGGAGAAAGAAGGATTGTCATCTACTGTTGTTTTGGCATACCAGGAAAGGTAGGTTATTAGCATACCCAGAAGCTATTATTAAATAAAGACAATCTATAGCTTATCAGGGAAAGATCTTGGATAGATTCACATTGTCTCTGAAGTAAATGATACTTGGGGTTCCTATCAGTTTGAACAAAGCCAGGGAAATTTTGCCATGTATCAGTCTGGAAAGTCACCACAACCCCACTGAACTGTTCATAAAGACAAAAAGAGGGATTAAAAAAATATTCAGAACGGAGCCAGTTCTGACTTCACTCAGATCTGCCATAAAACCTTCATCAATTTTGAGAAAGGCTGCTGTTCAGTACTTACAAGCAAATTAAACATATTCCTTCCTAACACTGAAAACTCATGACCAATGCATCTTTCACCTTAACTTTTGAGCACTGCTCAACTAAAAGAGCAAAAACAAACAGAAGGTTGAAAATGAAACCAAAAATTTCCTTGGAAATAAAACAAAATAAATCTCTTCTCCTGTGGCAGGGCACTGATTTGTAATGCAAAAGACTTTTCCTGCACTCTGAGCTGTCTAGAGTCATACATGTTTTCAAAGAAAAGCAGGCCTTAGCTTGGACAAATGCATATAAACATTTATGTAGTACAGCACCTTGCAAGGTGAGCCTGAAAAGAGCAGATATGTCAGGTTGTGTTCCTGACTAATAAACCTAGACTGCGTCCCTTAAAAAACCTGCACCCTAAGTGCATAAATCTTATATTAGCAGCATCTTGTGCTGGAGTTTTCTTAGAATCATCCTTTAATAATTATGTAACAAATATACATGGAAATTTCATTATTTAGCAAAAAAATCCCCATGTACTACCCTCTCTCTTAAATTTGCAGAAGCTCACTGGTACAAACTATTTAGTTTTCTTCCAAGGGGGAAGTAGGTTCAACAATTATTTTATCTGGAATTGTTATCCATCTATCTCAACAACTTCAGACATGTAGACCTTAGTACGTAACACTAGAAAATGAAGACAAATGCCCTGCATTCCCAAACCGTTGCTGTAATTGAGAACTAACCATCCAGGGACCGACACGCACATTTAAAACATATGGAAGTGCAATCTGGATGATCTTGCTGTGAATTTAACTGACGTTAACTAAACCGCTTGATGAGCACAAGGACAATTCTTCCAGTGTGCAGCGCTGGCGTAGGTTAAAATGGGCAACTGTTTCTCCTACCACCAATGTTTTACTGAATCCTTGATGCTCACCCTCGCCCTTTCCGCTCCTCCAGATGTATTTACTGAGAGTAGCAAACACTTGAAAAACACAGCTCGAGTGCTCACTTGAGCTCGGCATCCGCCTGTCTGTGCCCACAGCTGTTTTGGGCGCGGAGAGGCAGCGGGGCGAGCTGCCACGGCGCGGGCAGCAGGAATTCAGAGAATGAAAGCTGGTGTTTCTGGACTCCTCACACTGCAGGTCTTGCAGCCAGGTAAGCCAGACACCAGGACACCACATCCATGGCAACACAAAGTAAAATTTTAACCTCTGCAGGACCCCCAGGTCAAGTCACCGTCAGGCCGGCGGGGCAGCTATCACACACGGGCGCTGGTGCAGCTGAAAGGGGAATGGGCTTTCACTTTGACTGGGGGATATTTTTGCATTTTTTTGTGGTTTGCAATGTCCACAAGAAAATGCTTTGGTGCAAGACATTTTCTAGCAAGCAATGACGTATTGAGCTAAGTGTTTGAGGCACAGCCAGCAAATTCCATGAGTTATTGTAGAGGCCTCATTCACTACACTGATGATTCAAAGTACTTTTTATCAGCTTTTAAAACACATTCAGCTCGGCCAGTCCAAACGTAGCATTTTATTGATGATATTGAGTAAGGCGCTGTCTACACTGGGGGTCTCACCCCATCAGGACATCTACCTGGCACAGCTGTGCCCTAACATGCCTTCTTGACTTGCAGCATGGGGATACCATCCTGCACATCCCAAGCACAGCCCTATTCCAGACCCACGCTAGGGAAGTGTGGCCTTACACAGCCTGGGGTGCAATTTCCCAATGTGATTCTCTAAGCTCACTGCTCACTCACAGTGCATAAAATTAACACTGCTAAACCGCAAGCTGCCAAACCTTGCAATGTTTGCAATGTCAGAGTCAGAGACACGTTGCAAACAAAGCGAAGGAGCCTACCTACATGTGAATTGTACCACTGTGCAGTGAGGCAGTCACAGTGCAAAATCCTCCCTCATTTTTGACTACCTGTTTCTTGGAACCATGCTCCTGAAAACCCTTTGGGCAGGGTTTTAAAGTAGCTCCCCACTGGCTGAGCAAGCTGTGTGACAGAGCAAACTAGATGGATACAAGGTACTCCAATTTGGCTTGAATACTCTCAGAGAAAGAGAGGCCTGGCAGGGATTTAGCTTGCAACGTGTTCATCAAGTATGCCAGATAAAGCTGCCACAGTCCTCAACAGGCAAGCAAATAATGTCTAATCATGTCAGGATGAGCCCTGGTCAAACAGCCCTGGTAAGACAAAGCCTTTCAACATCCAGGTGGAGCCTGTCTGCCTGCAAGGAAACGCCTGACCCAGAGGTCATTGCCACTTCATTCCCACTTTCTCCCACCCCATCCCTGTCAACAAATTCATTGCTGGAGAGAGACGGGTGAACAACACAGACCTTCTGTCACAGCCTGGAATGGCATCCTGGGGCAGTGAGCTGATGTTGAATATTATCGTGGATGGCAGCTGCTGTCACGCTTTGCTTTTCCAGGAGCTTTCATTTCCCGCTGCCTTGCTGGGGCACAGTTCACAATCTCCACTTGCCATCGTGCTCTTGGATGTTCCTGCGTTTGTGACAAGAGTGCGGCTGCCAGGGGATGAGGGTGAGGGTAGGAGGCAAGAATTAAAATACTAAACTTGGACAGAGTAGTCATGATCCAGATGAGGGAAGAGTCTCCTCCTGTGTCTGGTGTTGTTCAACTTCCAAGTCAAGGATTCTGAAGAGGAAAAAAATGTGTCATTTATTACTTATGACATCAGACAAGCATGAGGTGATATTCTGAAGCTTTTATTCAGCTCTTTATGGCTACTGCCAACATAGTAAATTCCCCTCCCAGGAGATTTCCACTTGAATAATGAACATCCACTTAAGAATGGTGCTGAAACTCAAGGCTGAGTAATCTTGATTCAGCCCAGAAAAGAGGACGCAGAGTGATCCCCCTTCTTAGAGTCACACAGAACCGACAGTGAGAGGAGCTGAACTGCAGAGGTGAATCCAGGCAATGTCCCACTGAGAAGCAGCAATGCCCATCTCGCTGAGGACCTCTGTTTTCTGAAGGTCACAACCCACACTCAGACTCTGCAATCATCACTCTGATGAAATGGGTTAGGGAACCTGATCTTTTAAATAGCTGTTTTATTCACATGGTGCCTCACCAGGTCCCAAAGAGCTCATGAAAAATTAAACAGAGAACATAAAATATGAATGGGATGATCACCAGCCCACAAAAGCCCTGCAGTTCTTGAAAGGTGTTTTACACATAATGAATGCTGGATTTTAGAAAACAGGTTTCTGCCTCTTCTTCCAAAGAAGGTGCAATAATTTTCAAGCCTCTGTGTAAAATGAGGAACCTTCAAGGATGTGCCTGGGAGTGCCAGGGAGAGCATATCACTCCCCGGTGCAGCACAGGATTCCACTGCCATTGATAACCAATAAGCAAACTAAACAGAGCCAAATACATGGATATAGTGAAAGCACATAGATATCTAACTGGATGCTGCATTGTTAGAGGAAGTGTAGGACTGAAAGAAAAGATGAACATTTTATCAGAACTACAGGACTCATCTTGCAATCACGGGGTGATAACAACTCTCAGTTTAAATTCTGCCCAGTAAGTGTAATATTTAACTTATGGTAGCTCTTGATGACTCTTGTCCTTTACTCTGGGTGCTGTGTACAGGTATTTTTAGCTGACCTTTCTGAACTTTCTGGTTCTGTGGCCTAAATGGTAAGTACATTCTCAGTTTTCAGAAACTACCCTGGAAGCAATCATAGCCCTAGTGCTGAGGTCCATCAGCTGAGAGTCAGCCCTGGTATGCTTAAAATTGGGTTTATAATATGAACCCTATGGATGAGTGTTTCTTAGGCTGACAAAAATTTTGGTGCCAAAGGAAATTTCAATCCCTTGTTCTACATATTAAAATTATTGCAGGATGACCAGAGACTTGAATAACCTTGCTGTTTACTTCATGGAGGTCTTTCCACCACCCTGTTAGGCTACGTGCTACGAACTGTCATTTTGTCTAAGATGTTAACAAAAAAGCCACTGACCAAGCCCGTGAGGTGACACTGTCTCAGCCTCTGGAAAAGAGCCTCCCCTCTCCTGCCCTTGTCTTTGCCCTGGTGATGCAGCTACTCTGCAGACTGGATGCTCCCTGGGGTGGTCACCAGCATCCCCTGGCTCAGCTGCAGTGCTGGACACACTTAGTACCCTGAAAATGGGTGGGCAAAGGTCCAACTGCTCCCTTCTGAGCAGGCTCTGCGGTGATGACTGCGGTTCTAGCCCTGGACCCTACAGCTGGCAAGGGCATTCAGAAGCAAACAGACTTTTATTTTGTTTTCCTTGAGGGAAATGTGGTTGCTTTTGTTACATGGCTCCTGCTTGGGGTGAAATCCGCCCTCCATCCTCTGCATTTAGCAAGGCCGGCAGCTGCAACAAGCTTCACAAACTGCCACCTGCATCGTTTTGGTCTCTGGATATCCCTGGCCTTTTATCACAGAAGGATGAGCAAGGAGAAATTATTAGGGCCCTTTCTTCCCTCTAAGGTAATTTGGGAAAGGTTCTATCACATAACAACACTTCTTTAAGTTGTCAGCCAGATACCTGACAACTGTTCTTATCTACAGGGGCTTTAAATGTTTGTGTGAAAATGGCTCTCTCTCTCCCTTCATCCTCCCTCAACTTGCAGGAACGAAATAGGCTTTTGAGAAAAATTTAAATTTTAGAAGTGATCCAAATTTCACATACTTAAAACCAATTTCAAGTAATTAAATGGATTTTTGCATTATAGACTAAAGGAACTGTAAGTAAATGGATTTTTGCATTTTATTGTCTAAAGGAATCGGGAGTGACAGCCCCACATCCACGGAGGGAAGAGGCTCAAGCACTACATTTCTCCACATTGATAAGGCCCACATGCTCTATCAACAGTTGTATCTACACTAAATGATGTTCTTCTCATGCACCAATTACGAACTGTCAGAAAATATACATGTAATCCTTCGTATCAAGACCTACTCATGCAATTTTTAAATACCACACTGTAAGCTGCAGTACTTATCCTGAGGGCTTCATGTATTGGAAGGAGAAAAAGCTGTTATTTACTAGATCATCAATACCAAAGGCTCCATGAATACAGTCCTTTTTCAGGAGGCCAGATGCAAAATAAACACCACTTTTATTAAAACCAGGATATCGGCTTTTGCCAGGGCTAAATTTGTTCGGCTTCTGTCTGTGAAGTAATTGATTTCCAAGCCTAGATGCCACACATTTGTATTTGTTACCTTTAGTTTAAAAACAGTGAAGTGCCCCTCTAACCAAGGCAAATCACACAAATGATTTTCAGCTACCAGTGCCAAACCGCACGGAAAACCCACTGCAGAGGAACTAAATCCACTACAGTCAAACAGGACAGAAAGCTTAAAGCCTGTGAAGAGCTAGGGGGTCACCTGGAGCAAAATTTATGGTCCCAAGAGAAAGCTGTGGGGGAAATAAGACTGCTAGCAGAAACACTGACTTGACTCTGCTTTCCTGAGACTTGAGAGTGCCTATGTAGAAGGGGAAGGGAAAGAGAGGGATGGAGAGTAAGGAGGAAAATATTGTAGCAGTACAGTATAAATACAGTGTACTCCTAATTAGTAATTGTTTCAGCACAGTCTGTTTTCTAAGCAACTGTAATTAAGGGTTGAATACTTTTCTAAGGTTTTTTATAGCATTTAATATAGCCGAAATTAGAGAAAACAAGCCATTTACAAAGCAGGAATCCACAAAGGACAGACATCCCTCACAGACACAGACTGTCTAATTTCATGTGTGGAGGGGTGTGATCTATTCTGGCAAGCTGCAGACATTTGTTTGTATTTTGGTTTTTGTAACTACACGGGTTTCTGCTTTGCTAAAAGGCCATACTGGAACACCTAGTATACAAAATAGGTTTTCCTTCAGCCCTTCCTGAAAAGACTAAAATAAACGGAGAAAAGCCAACAGCCCGCTAAAGAGGAAAGAGAAATATATAAATCGACAAGGCGAGGCTTTGCACACACCTTGAGTTCCCCAGGCTGCAATGCACGCTGAAAGAAGCCATCATGCCAGTTCCTGGATCACCTTGTTAGTCTCCCTGGCTTTCTTACACGTGTACAACCATTTGATTATCCGAGCGTTGCGCTCGATCACAGAGGTGCTGCTCGGGACCTGCTCTGTGAGTTCATCCTCCAGCAGCCCCTCGTCCCCGCTGTGCCTCGTGAAGTCGCTCTCGGACGTTGCCACGCTGATGCTGCGGATCTTGAAGGAGACGTTGTCGGACACCACGGAGAAGTTCTCTCTCCCGAGATCCTCAATGACCTCCTGCTCCAGGCCACAGTACTTGAAAAATGTATCAAACTCGGAGAAGGACTTGGAGTAGCGGGAGCTTATGTCCGACTGGGAGCGATGGAGACCTCTCCTCTTCACCTCCTTAACCTCCTCAGGAAGTATACTCAGTTTTGAGGGTCTCTCATGCTCTTTCGTACACACCCCTGGGGCTTTGGTGCTCACAGCGACTGTGTGCCCTGCTCCATGGTTGCTCGGCTCATGGTCACCGTCTTTTGCTGCGAGAGGCTCTTTGCCCTCGGTGGCTGCGGTCTCCTCCATGACTCTGGGCATCTCAGGAGAAGCCAAGTGCTTCTCCTTTACCGACCCTTGGAAGATCCTCCTCACCAAGCTCCCCCGTGAGCTGTCCTGGCTCTGACCTCTCCCAAACTCACATTTCTGGCGGTAAATCACCAAGGAGTCCGGCCGCATCTGCCTCTTGGGGGTGCTGCGCCTGGCTATGGGGGGGCCGTGCTGCAGGGGGGCACGGCAGGAGTACACCGCCTTGGCCAGCTCCAGGGGCTTCGCGCCCGTCCCTCTGGCAAAGTCCCTGCTGATGGCTTTGCTATCCACCGAACAGGTCTCGCTGCTGCTCTCGGAGGCTGAGCTGAGGACGATGACGGGTTCCTGCTTGGTGCTGATCACCTGCTGGCTTTTCACGTACTTGGCCTTATCGGCCGCCAGCCTCTCCACAGCACTTTTCCTGCCAGGGGTGCCTGCCTCCATCTGCCTGCGGAGGTACTCGGGCCCCTTGTTGAGGAGTCGCAGGGTGAGGGAGGAGTGGAGGTCGGAGATGGCGTGCATTCTCACGGGCCGGCGGAGTTCAGTTGGCATAGCAGTTGCAGGGATCCTGCTTCCAGTCCTGGGGGGGAAGGAAGGAAGGAAAAAAAAAAAAAAAAAAAGAGGGGAAAACAAAACAAAACAAAAAAAAACCAAAACAAGACAAAACAAAACAAAACAAGACAAAACAAAACAAAACAAAAAGGAGAAAAAAAGAAAGGTGAAAAGTAAAAAAAAAAAAAAAAAAAAAAAACAACAAAAAACCGATAAAAGTAAGAAAAAGAAAAAAAAAGAAGAAGCGGGAGGGGAGCGCCCGGCGGCGGCGGCGGCGACAGCCGAGGGCCGAGCTCCCGCCGCGCGCGCGCGCACCCGCCGCTGCCGTCGGGGCGCCGCGTGTGCCCGTGCTGCCACGGCCGCCCCGCGCGCGCGCCCGCCCGCCCGCCCTCCCCGCGCCGCCCGGCGACAGCCAATCCCGCGCCGCCGCGCGCCGGGCCCGTCACGGCAGGCAGCTCGCGCGCGGCCCCGCCGGGCTGTGGCGGGGGGGGGGGGGGGGGGGGGGGGGGGGGGGGGGCGGGCAGGGCTTTGCAGGGGTCGGGGCAACACCTCCCGCCTCCCCCTCAGCAGCCTCGGCAGCCCCGCGGGGGCGTTGGGTCGTGGGCCCCCGCTGCGCCGCGGCGTGGGGTGGGGTGGGGGGGGCATAAATCTGTATTGCGGGTTATAAATCTTTGCCCTGCAGAAACACAGGGCAGAATTCCCGCCCTGGGGGGTGGCAGTTCTGAGCGGGCAGGACGGGGCCGCTGGCCGTCATTTAAACACCTGAAAGTTAGACACGCAAGTCACAGGTAAATCACCTGGGGCAGTCTGCGCGTCCAACTGTTACTTGTGTGATCCCATGCGAGATGCACCCACCTCCTCTGTGGTCACTAATAGCTGAATTACAGATAACTTTTCTCCTTGCACAGAAAACAAAAGCAAGTTTGTACCTGCAAGGTTTTTTTCACGCATAGTTTCTTGGTTAGTTGGTTTTTAATTTGTCTATTACTTCTGTAGGATTATAATATCAGAATGCTTTTGTGGTGATTGACTCATACTCCCATCTTTACAGTCACTAAACTATGGCAAACAATTCCGTTTACAAAGGGAGAGATGGGCTACATGCCTCCCTGTCCTTGCTACAAAGTTTGAGGGTGCACCCCTTTGCCTCCAGGGACCATTTGCTCATAGCTGTGTGGCTGGAGGAAAAACACGAGGCATCGTTAGTGCCAAGAAAGCGTAAGTCCGATGGTGGGTACATGTCCCCTCTGCACCCCCTGGGAGCAGGCGGGGGGGGCCTGGACACCTCTGGTGCATGGAGCTGCTTTGCTCTGCAGTAACAACAGCTTTTGTGCTTACATCCCCCACCAGGAGTGGGACTACTCAAACAGAGCCCTGCTACAGTGGCTGCAGCCAGACACCGTGTCATCACCAAAGGGTCGAGCCACGCGAGTGGCACCAACGTTCTCCTCATTCAGGTGTAAGAGAGTACAAAGCACCGAAGTGTGACCTGAGCAGCTGGGTTTTCAGTGGAGCTGCACTCCTCTGGGAACATGCCTGCCTTCTGTGGGGAAATTTCCACGGTTACTGTGTGCTACCAGAACCATGCTATGGTTCACAGAATCATAGAATCGTAGAATGGTTTGGGTTGGAAGGGACATTTAAAGGTCATCTAGTCCAACCCCCCTGCCATGGGCAGGGACATCTTCAGCTAGATCAGTTTGCTCAGAGCCCTGTCCAACCTGGCTTTGAAAGTTTCCAGGGATGGAGTATCTACAACCTCTCTGGGCGACCTGTTCCAGTGTTTCACCACCCTCATCGTAAAAAAATTCTTCCTTATATCTAGCCTGAATCTACACTCTTTTAGTTTAAAACCATTGGGTTTTAATAGCCTTGGGTTATTGCCCAAGGGACCATGAATGACATGGTCCATCTTCCTGAATGGATCGCAGGGCACTGTATGCTCATTTTTGAGTGTTATGAGTGTGGAGTGATTTTGTCTTTGCCCTCAATGCAAAGCAGAGTCTCCAGTCATGCTGAAAGTATTGGCCACATTTCAGCCTAAAGCCCTGGACAAGCCCAACAGACTTGGGTGAGGGATTCTCCCTGTGACAAGGGAAGGGTTAAGAGAAAACTTGGGGTAAGACTTTGGGCTAGCTCTTCTGTGAAGAACTGCTTACAGAACCACAGAACAGAAATATTTTCTTGACAGCATTGTTCTACTGCTGGTTTTCCCTCTAATTTTATATCCTCTTAGTTCCTAGGCACGTAGGTCTGAACTCCAGAAGCCCCTTAGCACATACATCTGCCTGTTCGCAGCGAGGATCCCAGGCAGGATGCTTGCCTGAATCAGGACTGAAACTTGTGGCATACTTTGAGATCCCTTAGGGTGAAATTCTTGTGGATACGCAGAATGGGCATGTTTTTTGAGAAAGAACTTTTTTTCCTCTACAGATACAGTAGAGCTGGTTCACATAACAGCTTACTTAAAAATGAATGTCGTCAAAAACTGAGAGATACTCATAAAAGTATAAGCACAGTTAATTACCAGGGAGTCCTTCCCTGATAAAGCAGCTCGTACATGGATGTGTAAGAGTGTAGTTAATATCATTACATATTTAAATGTTTCATGGAAGGCTGGGCTTATAGAGAAGGCTAATTTCTTCTGGCAATGAATCTTGACAATAAGCCAATAGATGTGATGAATTTAGTAATGAGATTAAGGTTTCATTCCTATTCCTATATTGACAAATTTGTCTTATTTTTTTCCTTCAGCTTTTTCCTTGGAGTTTTCTGACACGGTATAATGTAACAACATATATTCACATTGCTTCATGCATTTTAATTTGTGTTTGTTCCAATTTCTTGTACCTTTTATCTCTGAGCTTTAAGAACTACCAAAAAATCTCATATGTGGTTTGTCTGCACTCATTTAAAATAATGAGAGGAATGAGGATGCATGAGTATCAGTAAGAGTGCTCTTACTAAGCAACTCCATTTCTTTACCAAAGCTATTTACTCACTCCTTGCCACATGCAAAATTCACTAGCAAGAGCAGATATTATATAGTTTTGTCACTGGACAATAGCTTTCTGTTTAGAGTTGATATACAAAATCAATTGAAAAATTTGTTTTGGATGAAAAAAAAAAAGTTTTTTAAACATAAAAGAATTTGAGACATTTTCCTTTCACTTAAAATTTCCTAGGTTTTGCAGGCATACCTGAAAGACAAACCTGGACACTTCTGATGGAACATTCTTAATTTTCAACCGATTTCCCCCCCCTCTCACTGACAAAGGAAAATGAGAGTTTTGATTTCCCACAAAGTGCATGTCACAAGAAATTTCTCTTGAAAAATCACAACATCTCTTTTCAGCTGACTTTCTTGATATGTGAGATGCTTCTTTCTACAAATCTTGGGTAATGACAACGACATTTAAAGCGGGATAAGAGTCTTCCCAGGGTCAGAAAATGTGAGCAAGAAAATTTTTCAACTTTGTCTCCCCTTTGGTAAGGTACATTAATATAGCAGCTGCACAGTTATGTGATATTTTAAGTATATTTAGGTCATGTATTTAAGAACTTAAATACATCTAAGTTTAAAATATGTTTATGTTATTTGAAATATTTATATATCTTGAAATTAGCTCTTGTATTTATGGATACACTCTTACAATGTTCAAAGAAGACAGAGCCATTACATTTCTTCTTTCTGGAAAGCAGAGTGAGATATAGGGTATTATGAGAGCCCAAAGAAAACCAACTTTGCCCCTGGTTCAGTACAGGCTTGCAGAGAATAAAATGGAAATAAAAATGGGCACAGCAGCACCCATCGTCAGCCTGTCAGCTGGCATCAGTCTCTCTCTGGCATCGATGTATTAGGCAAGGGTAAGAGAAGCAAAGCCTGTACACACTAAGCCCTAGCTGACACTGTGAGTTTTCCCACAGGAGGGGAGTTTTACAAAACACTTCTGAGTCAGCTGGCATTTAAAGTTATCGCTAAACACAGAGCAGTTGAATTTTATGTGGGGTAAGACAAACCACTTCTCACTCTGTATTAATAAGAGATGTGTCTGGGGCACATTTTCCTGCTGCTGGAGACTGGAGAGCCAGTAAATGAGAGCTGCTGCAACATGACTGCAGGTAAGAGGTATAACATGTGCAAAGCTTAGGCCATTGCTGTCTACTGCTCCCACCCCATTCCCAGTGTCAGTGACACTCCTTTGATTTCTAGTGATCAAAGGGCAAAAATGAAGCAGTGGCAGTGGGAGGTAAAAGGCAAGGGGAAGAAAGGAGAAGGGGGAGCTCAAGCCCTAACAGAAATGGAATGCTTCCATTTTGGAGACCCTCGACACAGCTGTGTCCAGGACTGAGGTCTCTCCCCATAGCAGCTCTCAGAGCTGGGCTCAGGTGTTACCTGAAAAGCAGGAGCAGGCCGGATCAGAGGGTGGTTTGCTCCCACTGTGACATACTATGTGGTGCCACTGGGTGTCCTGTTTGCTGCGTTCGGGCATCCACAAAGTAGAAATGAACAGTTGGGAACCAGCTGTCTCCAGTGGGGAAATTTCAGGCCTTTTGGCATGAAATCAGTGAGGGTCATGACCCACCCTCAGATTCATACAATAGAAGATACATGCATGCCTGCACATCTTCAGACAGAATTTTAAGAGTCAGGACTTCAGCACTGTACAGCAAATTTTTCAGTGGAGTCAGACCCATGTCACTTCTGTGTCTCTTTTTAGCCTTTCCCACCACTGCCAGATTGCTTAGCATCCTTTCCCATCACCGTAATTCTGGGTTGTTTGCTTCGTTAAGCAACTTAGCATCTTAGTCAGAAAACACCTTCCTCCTAAAATCAATCCAACTTGTTCACAGTTGTCATTAGTGGTCTTTAATTTTTTAGCAGAATTATTTTGGAAACCCCATGTGTTCCACTTTCCAGACTGAAGAACCATCATGGATCTGAGCAGGACTGTGTAATTTACATGACAGTGATTCATGTCAATGTATGGGGAGCCTTATTAGAACAAAGAGCAGAAGAAATGTGATGGGATAGTATAATGAGAGCAAGAGATGAAAGGGAGGA